ATATAAACTATTTTCCACGTGTTCCCTCGCGATTTGTCCTTTATTAATACCAGAAATTGTGAACATTTAACAGCATGTATTATAACGTGTCAAAGCGACTGTGTATACACGTGCACGTTGCTTTTGGAAAACTGCCCACCAAAGGGCCACGCAGAGGCTTTTCTCGCCACACGGGTGGGCAGGTTCGTCCAGGGATGGACATCGGCCTCGCAGAACACAGTTGTGGAGTGGAAGCACTCTACTTAAATGGGTCAATTACAATTTGTAGAAAAAATGAACGAACGAATTGAATCAAACCCACGTCTTCGGGATTAGCGCCCTGACGCTCTAGCCACTAAGCTCAACGGTTGATTGCCACGCCGACGAAATTCTCAACGTCCTTCAACTACATTGTTCTTTTAGCATTTTGAGCAATACTTGGCGCTTTTTTCTACAAATTTTAATGTTTGACCTTAAGAGCAGAGATTGGCACTGTAAAAAATTATTTTTTTTAAATGGCCAAATTATTAGGGGCAATCTTTGTTACCATTTTTAAACTTGCTACGGTCAATGAACTCAAAGCAGAATCGTCTCTCATTTTATATTCCTCGTTATATGTACAAACGAGTCTGTTAATATGCATTAGCATGTTTGGACGATAAATTACGACGCGAATAGCGGTATCGTTGTCTTCTTTCACCGCCGCTTTAGATTTTCGACATTTAAGAGTCATTATTCAAATTTATTTTCGCTATTTGCCATTGCTCGATAAACAAGGGAAACGCTGCATAAATATGAGACCGTACGTTTCATTATGAATGTGTGGATCAATTAAGCTTCCCCTACTGCATCCGTCGGCTGAGTGAATAGCTGACATCGTCTCTGGTCGCGATTTACTGTTTCGTTTTGTTGTAACTGATTTATAGCGTTTTCAGTCCGTAGACTATAAAAGCTTGTCGTCGTGGAATCGATCGTTCTAAATTGTTTCGGATCTGCGTGTCCGTATTAGATACGAGGAATATTTGAAGGTCATGCTTCACTTTCCCGCCTATTTGGTTAATTGTAGTATTTTTAAGTGACAAAGTGGAAAGCAAGCAGGCGGTTCACCTGACGTTAAGCGATTGGGTTATGTTTAACCCTCAATCAACAGATGAAATCAAAAGTGTAATAGTTCTACATTACACGGGTCTGCTATGTGGCTGTGGTATCCCCGGACACTAGATTCAAATTAAATTTTTTTCTGTATCGTCTGACTAAAGTCTATTTTTATTATGAACATTGATGTCGTCGTGGTAAATTCAATGTCTACATTAAATATTAGCAGTTAATAAAATCATAAATAAATAAATTAACGAGAAAGGTGTTTACAGACAGCGGAAATCTCCGGATGATGTTTTGTGTAGGAACAATAATACGAGCTAGCGGTTTACAGTATGATAAGGAATCATCGACGTCTATGATCACACAAATCACTGCAGAGGGTTTTTCAGGTTTTCCTCGAGTCCCTCGTTTTATTTTACCACTACGTTTACTCCAATAATACTACCAGTAGTAGAGAACAACATTGAATGCCTTTGTCAAACCGTCCGGTATTTTGAACGCCACTCTTACGTCTATTTATATTCCAGATATTTAGGAAGCAAAGTTGTTAAAAATGGAACTAGAAAAATAACAAGCTGATTAAAGTCGTTCATAATTTTTCACTTCGCGTTTTTAATTCTGAAGCCACCCAAGCGTTGTTGAATTTAAATTTAATATGAGAAAACGTGTTGAAGCGATCCTAGTGTTAATGGGTAATAATAATTAGCTAGCAAAAAATATCTGCGAGTTATGCGTTTTATACGATTGCTAATATTTTGAATTATACACACTTATAATTTTTTGCGGCTATGAAATAACTACTTAAAAGCAAGAGTGTTTTCTTTCAAATGTGGCTTAAGGCAATTTGGAGTTTTCCAAAATTCAATTTGCATTGAAAAACAAAACCAGTTTCGAAACACTCTCTCCTAACGGGGTACCGCCACCCACAGCTTCTAACGAATACACTCGCCATTGGCCATCACGTGAGAAAGTGGTCATGGTCTTTGGTAAAGGAAGCACTACAAGAACGGAATAATGTTCGAGCGCTGCAGCGCCGCCCGAGTGGGGCGGACTAGACGCAAATGGTGCGCGTAATTTTAACGCACACCTGTCCACAAACTGCGCTTATTACCGATCGCATAGCGGACGGGACGCTATGATTGCGAAATATCCTCTTGCGAAATTCACGTATCGCTCTAGATGCATAAACGTGGGCACCGCCTCCACTGCACACCGTTACCGAGTGCACAAGGACACGCGCGCTCAACTGGTCCGTCATCGTTTGTGGTGAACATTCTAATTAGGTTCCTTAAGGGACGTCGACACACGGAACGGCGTGTTAAAAATTCAATTGTTCCACGACACGGTATAGAAAATCGTAACCGCTCCAAATACCACGATTTCGTTGCATCACCCCAAATGGTATTATTCGATCAGACGTTTCGGATTACTCGCCGTAACCGAGTGAAGGTTTATTCAAATAACGAAACGCTAATACGTTAGTATAGTACATATTACATAAAATGGCCCCAATTGTATCAATTGCAAATAAAGCCAATACGTACGCCCGGGACGGACTCACAATGTCAAAGAATACTTAATGGCGTCAAAAGCAGTTGCCACATGCGTTCCTTAAACCGAATACCAATCATGAAATTTTCTAATTGCGCTAAGACATTAATAAAATTATATTCTGATATATGCATCTTGTATGCAATCGATGTCAATCTGCTACTAAAGCGGTTCATAGTAGGTTAGCTGCACCCACGGCCCTCCCAGCTACGTACCATTAACTACTAGCTAAAGGTATAACGTGTCTGCACAACCTTCGATCGTGTAAAATGGGCCCGTGTTTCTCCATTTATGCACACACAGACGGGGACACGGAACATGTATATAATTATGTATTTAGATGCTGGACCGAGAACCGTACGTTGTTGTACAACGTACGGCACAAGGGAGAATTGCCAATATTAACAATAAGCCATGTTGGCTAGATATGAACATTTTATTGGGTAGGTGTTTATAAAAAGCACGGAAGCCTCTAGAAGATGCCGTCGCGTTTACGGTTAACTCTTACGTGAACAGTTACGTTAAACTAGCGGGGCAGATGTCCGAAGCGAAAGTGCATGCGCGTGCCTCCGGGCGTCGTCTGCGCGCATCACTGGCCGCGTGTTTGTCGACGGCACGCACGCCCGGGTGGGCCCGGTTTTGCGAGCGTGTGCCAATAAGCGCGATGTAGCCGTTGCAACGTACACAAAACGGAATTAATGTTTGCCCTAAGGGACGGTGCGTCGGCGACGGCTTTATTAATTTCCACATCAACGACTACAACGTCCACTTTTATGTGAGAACTATTTTTTTTGTTGTTGGTTCACCAGCCGTCCGACGTAATGAATCAACGAAGTGCGCGATGCCATGTTTATTGAAACGGTATGCAAAGTATGTATGCACAGACAGAAAAGTAGTCGAGTTTTAATAGGTTTTATGGGGAGTTATTTTTATTCGTATAAAATAAAGAATAGTTTCGTTTATCTTCGCGATATTTTTTTTGTCTACACTAATAGGGGAACAGAATAGTTGATATAAATTACATAAACATAACCGATTTTGATGCAACAATTAATAAATATGTACTAACTAAAAAGATATAATACATTTTTTTTATATTTCTATACATAAAATTGTCAAGCGATGCGTATATATTCCTGCGTCAAATTGTGTAAAGAACATAAAACTTTTTCGTCGCCCGACACATACGTCAACCCTTTCTGATGGGCCATCTGAGTAGACGGATAATTTAAAGAACAAGTAATAAAATGAATTTAAGTGAAAAGGTACAATTTTTCTTTTCCACAATCGGTTTTCTCTCCGACGTATGTGACAGGCGTCTTAATCGAGTTAATAGAAGAAAAAATAGAGGTCGATACGTGGGTGGACCTGTTAAGGCGTCTACACACTTGCTTTGACATCGATCTTCTTTTTCCACACGCGTGACTTGCATAAACAATAGGTACGCGGGAACTGAAGTTAAGTCTATACTTGAATTGAAATTGGACCTCATCATGGTGTTTGTAAGTCATTCCAGTAATGTCACAATACGAATGACTTCGAAAATTAAAAAAAATCGACTTAAACATATGTTGCAATTAACATAAATTTGCATAAACAACTAAACAAAAATGTTAGCAAAAATATTTCGTGAAAAGAAAACAAATTAATATTGGTACTGATTTCAACACAATATCGATGTTTTTTTTCTAATCGAGCTCTTCGAAGGGTACTTTTCAATTTGATAACCTCGAAATCATTAGTTCGACTTTAAATATTGTCATCGGATCTAAACGTTGTTGCATCACAGTCGAGTGAAATAAAGATTTATTTTGATGTTATTAGTCATATCATAGTATATCTGATTATTCTCTAGTTTCTCTGAGTCATTTACTTTGAGTTTAACTGTCTCAAAGGCGTTGAAATATATTGAAAACAATTATTAACTTAGCTATGATAAAAACTAATATTTTATAATTTACTCATGACCTTTTTTTCTTATTTTTCATTTTATTCGAGGTAATATTATGACGAACATTATTTTGAAATTTTATAAAATGAAAAAAATTCAATCAGTATTACAAAATAAATAAAGGAATTTTCACTAGCATGCAAGTAATTTGCTGTTATCAAATTATTAACAAGCCTTCGTTCTGTAGTGGCATGGTCTTTGTTATATATGATACGTAGAGATATATCTCTACGTACGCGAAATACACTGTAAGCAAAACTGACAGCCGGCAAACGAGGGACCGATAGAAAATGACAGCGTCAGTCATAAACGAAATTCGCTGAGCGGCACACGACACCAAACTCGCCAGGCGACCGCAAGCAAAGTTGGAACTTGGACGGGCCGGTTACGTGAGGCACTTATAAGCAATCGGGACTTACGTTGGTCTCGTCGTCGACGCGGGCGCACGTTCACTGGCAACGGGTGCACTGAGCGGTCGTCGGTCGGTGGTCACCACGCCACCCCGCCCGGCCACCACCATGCCGGATGCACCGAGTATAGTGGCGACCGATCGCTCACGAGACTTCGCGATCGGACGAACGCTTGCCGGTTTGCGTTTCGATTTCGTTTTCATTCCGCCGACCGCAATATTACCTTTGGGATCGGTCTACCACAAAACGGTATACAGATAATGATGAAGGATTACTATGTTTTTACAAATGTTACAAACATCCACACAACCGTATTTACTTTACAAAGAAATGTGTAAACTATACGGTTAGCAGTCACGCTCCGCGCCTTTTTCTCATACTAATATATTTTTTTATACTGTAAGGGTAAGGCTGAATTAGAAGAATTGAATGAAAATGAACATGTACATAATCCTTATGTAGACGTACATGGTACGAATTTCTCATTTTTTGAATTTACATGTGTTTTGAGCGGTTAATTCTAAGACAAAACCGTTATTGTGACTTATATAATTATAATATATCAGATTTATTTTCATATTGATGAGTACTATGTATACCTATCTATATGCAGTTGAATATATTATTTATCATCAATAGTTTCACAGCACATGCTAAATAGCAGAGTTTCTTTCCGCTTTTCCCTGTTCAACTCTAGTTTAGTGAACCGGTGATAGATTTTCTTTTTGACATTCAATGACAGCTTAAGTTAAGCCTATTTAAAATTATTTTGACTTTGATTTTGAAATAACATAACAAGCAAACTTTTTACCTTTTCGGTCCATGGCAACATTACGGCGAGGTTTCTCTAAAAGTATATAACTTAATCTCTAAAATATATATAAATTAACTAACTCGTGAGTTGCAGTGTTTTGGGTTTGCATGCATTGGACGACAGCATGATCACATGACTCATTCACGCTGATATCTATTTAAAATCGACTTTGTGAGTCCGCTTTGAATTCAAACGTCTCCAAACGAGTTTTCCGCGAGGTAACGTGCTCATTATCAACATAACAGCCCCCCTTGAGGTGCTCTGTGAGAAAATATTGCACCTTTCGTATTCATAAACCGCATCGGAGACGAGACTTCGCGTGCCTTGTTGCTCGTATTTCGCCAGTGTCATTTTACACGTCGCAAGTTGAGACGGCGCATTAAACAAATTTCGTTCGCGGAATGGTTTCCATGGAAACGTTTCAGATAAGCAGCTTCGTTCGGACGCTTTTGACTCAGCTAGGGACGCAATCCGGGAAATTGACATGCATAGCGTTTTCAATTATTCCGCGCGGCTAAGGTCAATGGCATTTTCAATTTCACTCTGAATGTACGGTTTCAGAGCAATGATAATAATATGTATATTATATACATTAATATGTTTTACAGTACGGTAATTTGTGTCGGTATATTTTACCCATTTTGCAGGGCGTTTAAACATAATACTTTCGCTAAAAGTACTCGTTAGTATACATGCTTGAATGGTTTGAATGAGACATGGACAGTGGACCGTAGCCATGCTCAATTAAAAATATATTTTTATATAATTAAATGTTATTATTTCGAAAACCTGCATAAGGTTTACTCACAATGTTTTCCTTCACCGTTGAGCACGTGATATGTCAGCACTTAAAGTTTTCATTGATCCCGGAACCGGGATTTCAACTTAGGAATATTAAAAGCGTGCGCCCGGAAAATTATTTAATATCTATCTTAAATAGATTTATCGAGCAATAACCTGAAATGGTAATTGATTACTTTTACGGATAGTTTCGACATTGATATAAAGATATACATACACACATGTAGACGCAACGAACGCAAGAGGAGATAAGCCACTCAGCCCTGTATTGCACTAAAATGAGACGAAACTGAACTCAAACTAAGGTCGGCTTAAATTCAAATTAAAAATGTATACGATCAAATGGACGCTTGCGCGTTGTTATGAAACGTCGAATTTTAAATGAAACCTAATACGCAAGTTCGCAAGTAATGTACCACCGGTTCGTAATGTTTCAGTTAAGAAGAAACCGGCAAGAAACTCAAAAGTTGCTGCTTTTTAATATATCAATTGACAGTGGTACGCGTATAAGCTTATCTTAGCCTACTCCAGTATCAAGAGTATTAACTCCACGCATTCGCGTCGCCGATTTTAGTGCGGCGGGCGTTAGTGGTTTAAACCGATTAACTGAAATGGAAACGGCGCAATAAATTCCGCACACACAACAAGTATTGTGCACGCTGAGAACCGGAGACGTCCGTAGATAATAGACAACGTTCGGAGTAACGCGAGCGAAGACAAGTCTCTACTGACAGGCGAAAGTTGCATGATTAAAATGAGGGCTTCCAATGAGACGAGTTGTTTTGATGTCTTTGTTTTTTTTTTAAGCTAATTTCATCATCTTAATTGCAGTTCTTCGGCTAGTCATCAAATTAGACTTGGCTTGGGGATGCCATAAAAAATTATTCGCTACTAACGGTACGTGTTAAGTGGCATTGTTAGGCAAGCGTTAAGTGGCATTGTTAGACAAAGAAAGTTTGTTCGTACAGTAACATGCCGTATATTCGAATATAAAACAAAAATTCCTTCTATTACACATATGACGGACCATCTTCACTGTATTACGTGTAAACGGCGAACAGAGCTATCGCTGAAATGTCGTTTATCAACTTTCTTTGTCTAATATGTCCACGTAACGGCCTAACTATATTTGGAGCCGAGAGGTATCGTTACTCTTGCCTAATTGTCTATGTAATTTATTAAAATAAAACCAAATAAGAAAAGGAAAGTCTGAAGTTCCTAATTATGTTTAATGAAGGTTATTGTGTACCACATGGACGAAAAAAAAAACTTTAAATATATTTAACACTAATATGCGCACGCTATTGACGCTAATTTAGAATTCGAGTGGTTAATTTCAATGATAATTAAGAAGATTAAATTACCTTACGCGCGATGGCAAAAAAGTGTGAATGTAACATAAAAAAACAGACGCCTAGCAAATTTATTAGGCATTCGTTAGTCGCAGTCCCATTATTTTTTTTATATTTTTTTTGTTTTAACCGGAACTTTTTACTGGACTCCTGACGCGTGCATCATAAGTAATAAATAAAGCTATCTCTCTCTGTGGGCAAATCTATGGAGTTATTTCACTTATTTTTGAGAGCCGTGATAGATCCGTCTCCGTACACTCACCTTTAATTTAAAACACTCAAGCAATCTGAGTTCGATCCCCGGTGCCAGCATCTATGATATTGTTAATTTTAAGTGCTGACTCATTAAGTGCTTAGCGGTGAAGGAAAACACCGTGGGTAAATCTGAATATTTTCTAAATAATAACAAAATATTTCAGAGATATGTGAAGTCCGCCAATGCGCAGTGGGGCCGCGTGGTGGACTATGTCCTAAATCCTCTGTACTTAGAAGGCCTTTGCCCAGCAGTGGGATGTGTATAGGCTGTTACTTTTATTTACTATTTTTGAATTGAGAACAGCATTATTTAATTCGAAAATGATTTCATAAAGTAAAAGCTATAACAATAATTTCAGTTATTTCAATAATTAAATTAAATTAAAAAAATCATATATATTAAGATTATATGTGATTTTTTTCATATAATTCGAATTATATGTTGGTATATACCTTATAAATTTATAAAATAATACATTAATATTTTTATTCTTCCACAATATAAAATAGCTAGTTGTGCAATTTCAAAAATAAGCTAATACTTTGTATTGAAGTTTCTATTAAGGGCTATAGTCGGCTTTGACTGTGACAACTAAACTGCAGCTAGATAAAAGAACGCAAAGAAAGCTCAGCGAAACTACGCCGTATTACAAACCGACCGAACGTCACGCATATGCCGTATTACAAACCGACCGAACATCACGCATACGCCGTATTACAAACCGACCGAGCACACGCTATCGAGGGATCAGATACACAATGGTTCAATCACTTCAGATCGTCCATAATCGTATTTAATGTGCTAAAAAAGGCTTTATCCCTTAAAGCCCGTAACAGCCTTCAGAAATACCTGTATAGTAAAAAAAAACGTATGTGTACTTATGTACGCACGTAAGAAGTTATACTTCTTTAATAATAGAAAAGAACTAAAAATTTTACACCCTGCGCCAGCACTCTTTGTGAAAAGGACATTAAATGATAACGGTTTAATAACGGTGTGCGCGCTCATCTCATCATTTTTCCCTAACGCGCTAAAAGAAGTATGAATTCAAAGAGGATATTAAGGTACTACCGCTGCGAATTCAAATTATTCGAAATATTATATTAGTTATTTTGACATTCTTCAGGTTTCCTTGAAATATTTTCCTTAACCGCGAAGTATGTAACAAATCGGCACTTATCTAAACGCGGGTTTGAAACACGACTGTACTAAACTAAAAGCGGTCGCTATTTCACTGAGACGGTGTTAGTTTAATTGTTTTAGTCGTTAACCCTAATTTAAAAACACTGTTCAAATCTTAAGGGCTTATGTGATTTTAATACTTCGAAATCATTTTGTATACTGTTCGTTAGTAATTACTGTCAGTCACATTTTTCTTAGTAATCTAGTAATCAACTGACTTCTTGGTGAGCTAAGGGCTTGAACATTCATAGATTTGAACAGTATTCAATACAACACAGAGTGCGTAACGGTACGGACATGTGTATCCTACACGGTTATAAATGGAGAATTTAATTCTCAATTTTGCACATAACATGTAAATACTAATTATTTACATAAATGAGTTATGTGCAGCTTAAAATTACTAGATTCACACAAATGTTGATATTAATAGGGATTTGTTTTCTTTATACTTCTACGTTCTCTTCATAACTCTTCGTTGGTGTTAGTGTGTACTCGAATGTGGCTCAAAACAAAAGAACTTGCATCACTTTCTCTTACCACGCAATGCCTTTGAAATTAATGATAAGTTGTAGATGGAAAAACTTATATAAAATTTTAAGTTATACCACTTATGCATTATGTGTTGTGAATGCTAAATTACGATCGGAATCCCCGTCCTTGGAAGTACTTTCTTCGCTGCCTTACGCGATAACAAGTTAACTGCAGTAAGGAATTTAATTGATAAGAAGTACTATGAAATGAATAGTAAGCACAAATATACATATTTCGATCTCGCTTGAACCAAATGTAATTCTTGGCCGTTTGTGCCGTCTTGTATTTTTTAACTAA